GCCCATCAAATCCCAGCTCACCAGAAGGCCGAAGGGCTATATTATACCAGTGCAGGCATCTGAGAGTTTAACATTGGATTCATGAGTCTTAACAGTAGTTCCACTGGAAAGGCAGCATTCCACATCCTTTCTGAGTGTCTCTGGAGTTGAAAGCAGACCAGGACTTGCAATAATGATGTGTGTCGGGCCCTCTGACTCCACCCCCACGCAGCATCTGCCAAGAGGAGCCAACTGTTCTGATCCTCTGGCCCACAGGTGCCCAGCTGGCCCCTCGGGAGACAGAACACCTGCTCCCCTGCCACACACTTTTCACCTTTCTGGTTATTAGCTTCCCTCTGGAGACAGTGGATTCCCCGGTTCCACAGGATCTGCCTAGTGGGTCCTCTAGAATGAATGAGGGTTGAACTGCTTTCATTTACGTCCAGTGCCAGGCCTAAGAACAGTGGCTCATGCCTGTAATCCCAGCACTTTGGGAGGCCAAGGCAGGAGGATTACGAGGTCAAAAGATCGAGACCATCCTGGCCAACAGGGTGACACCCCATCTCTACTAAAAATACAAAAATTAGCTGGACATGGTGGTGGGTGCCTGTAGTCCCAGCTACTTGGGAGGCTGAGGCAGGAGAATCATTTGAACCTGGGAGGCGGAGGTTGCAGTGAGCCGAGATCGGGCCATTGCACTCCAGCCTGGTGACAGAGCAAGACTCTGTCTCAAAAAAAAAAAAAAAGAAAGAAAGAAACATTCTTTGCCTCCTGTGCACAGGTGATAAACAACTCAAACACAAACTTTGAAACTGTTAATTGAGCTTTGTTACTCAGCCATTTGTGGGGTACCATGGCCATGCAGTGAATATCCCCCTGGCCTGGGGCTTTTCATTTCAAAAGGAAAAAGTTACTTTCAGTTTCCCTAAGGACCTAATGCAGATGGTAAAAAAGGATTGGGGCTAAGGAGCAGAAGAGGGACTCTACACATATTGCCCCATTCGGTTCTCAGCCCTCAGGAAGTGAGTGGGCAGGTGGAGAGGAGCAGTGAAACCATCTCCTTCAGGGAGGGGAAAATCAATGCTCAGCTGGTAACATTAACCTGGGCCGCTGGCCTGTGAGCACAGAGTGAATGCAAAGCCAGCACCTCTGGTTTCCAGGCTCTACACTGCACTGCTGCCTCCACGAGAGGTAGATGACTCTGAGCAAGCCACTAAATCTTTCTAGGTTTCGTTTTTCTCTAACCTCAATGATCTTAAGGCTCCTTCCAGTTCTGAATCAGCATTTAAGTTTAGGGCAGCAGCCCTGGCAGGCCTTGATAAGGCCTTCACTCAACCCTATGTTCTCCGTGGCTTTGGTAACAAATGGAAAGAAAACTCTCACGGGCAGCAGAAACCAGCCTTTTCCTTTGGGTTGATGCCCATTTGTCAAAAATTTGGCAAAAGTTACATTCATATTAGTGAAATCTCAGCATAGCTTCATTCATTGTTTGACACGCAAAATTATGACATCTGTTGCAGGAATGTAGCTCTGAAAACCCTCAATGTCAAAAAGTCTGTGTAATGGAAGGAATACTTCTTGCACTGCCCAACGTTTCCAATGTCTTTCCAAACCCTTGTCTCCAGTTCTGGAAATGATGGCTCCCTGAATGCCCTAGCGCTTTTTGTTTTGATTGCAGAATTCAGACTTCTTCCCCCTGCGTATACATCTGATTGTAGATTAAAAAGGATTAGCTACAAATAGTGTTGACAAGTTGAAAAAATGGTTAACACACACTCAAATATCTTGAGTAAAAAAGACAGATATATATATAATTTTTTTTTTCCTGGAGAAAAAAGAAATCAGGCCCAAAGTATTGAACTCTGGAGGATACAAGCCAGCATTTGCAAAAATTAGATTTTGTTTCTCCTAATACCAACTCTAGAACAATAAGGAGGGGAACTGTACTCTTCAATGTCAGTGCCAAAAAGTTCAGAATGTAGCCACAAAGTGCTTTTCTTTTTTCTCTTAATAACTGATTGTAGGCCAGGCACAGTGGCTCACGCCTGTAATCCCAGCACTTTAGGCGGCCAGGGCGGGCGGATCACTTAAGGTCAGGAGTTTGAGACCAGCCTGGGCAACATGGTGAAACCTCGTCCCTACTTTTTTGAGTATTCTCTTTATTTTTATACAAAAATTAGCCAGGCATGGTGGCATGCACCTGTAATCCCAGCTACTCAGGAGGCTGAGGCATGAGAATCACTTGGACCTGGAAGGGGGAGGTTTCACTGAGCCAAGATCACACCACTGCACTCCAGCCTAGGCAACAGAGACTCCGTCTAAAAAACAAACAAACAAAAAAAAACAAACCAAAAAAAAAACAACAGATAGTATGTAGCACTCTCATCATAAATTTATATTTTTTGAAGATGTTTGCCAGGCACGGTGGCTCATGCCTATAATCCCAGCACTTTGGGAGGCTGAGGCAGGCACATTATGAGGTCAAGAGATCGAGACCATCCTGGCCAACATGGTGAAACCCCGTCTGTACTAAAAGTACAAAAAATTAGTCGGGCGTGATGCCTGCCTGTAGTCCCAGCTACTCAGGAGGCTGAGGCAGAAGAATTGCTCGAAACCAGAAAACGGAAGTTGCAGTGAGCCGGGATTGTGCCACTGCACTCCAGCCTGGTGATACTGTCTCCAAAAAAAAAAAAAGAAAGATGCTTATGTGTTTACCCTGTGTCCTTTCTCTGTGGAGTTCCACAATGCTTTACTCTGAAAAGGGCAACCATTCCAGCTGTTCATTCTGAAATCTGGGCCTCCTCAGTTTCAGCAACGGAATTTAGAATATGAATCTTGAATTCTCTCTCTACACTTCATGGTTCTCTAAATGGTCACCGTATCAGCTTCCAGTCTTGGCCTTTCCATATTGAAAAGTCCTAATCTCTGTACCCTGACCTCACAGGCTGGCATGTTCAGAGGTTATCACACCCGGTCATACCCCCGGGGGGTATCATGTATAGACAGGGCTGTTCTCCTTTTTTATATTAATCTGAAAGATTAGGTAATCATTCTTTGAATTGGTATGCTTCATAATTAACTGATCTCATCTGATCCCTGGAACCCAGACAGTAAGTCCGATGTGAAACCACTCCCTCACAGTCATGTCAGCTGCTAAAGGGTTGATTCAACCTCCATCTTCCCAGCCTCCTCCTCTCCTAATTATACCTGTGGCTTCATCTGTTTTCACCTGTATCTAGGAACTGTTTTTCTTCTGCTGTAAAATGTTGGAAACAAGGGGAAGAAGATTCCAGGCAGGGCTCTGGAGTCACACAGGGTAAGAGTTTGAAGCCCAACCCCACTACTTGGGAGCTACTGAACTGAGTCTCTGAGCCTCAGTGATGTGAGGCTTAAGTGGAATAACCTTGTGAGTACAAGTTCTTTAGCACACATAAATGGCACCTGCAAGTATTCATAACCATCATCATCGTTTGGGGTAAAGTTAGTGCTCCCTTAGCTTCACAAGGATGGGTACTATCCTCTGTAGTGGTCTTTGGAGCATAAATGACAAGTTGAGGACCACAGCAGTTAACCTTTTTTTTTTTTTTTGAGATGGGAATCTCACTCTGTCATTCAGGCTGGAGTTCAGTGGCACTATCTCGGCTCACTGCAACCTCCGCCTCCCAGGTTCAAGCGATTGTCTTGCCTCAGCCTCCAGAGTAGCTGGGATTATAGGTGCACACCACGCCTGGCTAATTTTTGCAATTTTCTTAGAGACAGGGTTTCACCATGTGGGCCATGCTGGTATCGTTTGAACTCCTGACCTCAAGGATTCACCTGCCTCAGCCTCCCAAAGTGCTGGGATTACAGGTGTGAGCCACCATGCCTGGCTGAGCAGTTAACTTTTATGGAACAAGCCCTAGGTGTCTGGCATTGTGCCATGTACTTGAAGTGCTTATGGATTTGATTCCCACAGTTACAAACTATGAGCTAGGTGCTAATCTCACCTCCATTTTAAAGATGGAGCAGCTTGGATTTCGGGACTTGACAGGTTAGGAAGCCTAATAAAGGTGGAGTTCTGATTTGAAGCCAGATCTGGCTCTCCATGTGAAAGAGGGCCAGGTTTAGGAAAGGCTTCCATGACTACAGTGGTGCAGTGTGGGTTTTTTCCTAGCTGGGGACTGGCAAAGGTGAGCCTAGGGGTGCTGAAACTGTGGGAAGGTTGAGACCAGAGCATTTATTTGCCGTGAGCAAGGTGACAGATTTTCAGGAGACCTAAAACCAGGCTCTGGGACCCTGCTAGGATTCTTGGCCTTATAGCCTTTGTCTTTCTGTGGAGAAGAGATTCCTGATTAAGGGTCATGGAAGAACAGTTACAGAGATACTGAATACTTTCAAATGAAAAGATATCTGCATCCAAATGAGTTTTCATAGATGTCCATTCCGCTGTTTGCTTTTGGTGAGAACATCCTTTTTCCTCCCTGCAGTACAACTCAAGCCAGGATTGTGTGTAATCTGTTTTGTTTGCTTAAAGTCTTCAAGAGCTAGGAAAATGACTGATGATATTTTTAGTTTCTAAGTCTGAGAAAATGGAGATGTACTGGAATTGAGAACTCATGAGTTGGGAAGCAGAAAGTCATAAAGACTCATTAAAGCAGTACTTTTGGGACAACAGTAGATTTGGCACATTAACCCAGCATTTGTTCATGTGTGGCTATGTCACTTTTAGAGACTCAGCTGATATGTCAGAAGAAAAATCCCCAAACCAGTAAAATCACTGTGAAAGTCCTACATGTATGTGCAGATACACACCAATAACATTGAAAATTACATTTGGAAAGGTGCTCTCTTGCTTGGTTATAACTTTAAGAGACCAAAATAATGCTGTTTTTAGTGTTTCTGAAAAGGTAACACATGACACCTAGTTTCTCCTGGACTCTGGGATATTGTTCTGAGAACCCATTTATGGGGGAAGGCAGGTCAGCTGCATGCACGATCAAAAGTTCACAAATTAAGAACATATAAATGACAGGACCACCAAATTTAGAAAATGTCCTACAATGTGCATTTTATTCCATATCATTATACAATGTTTACATATAGTTATAACTCTCAAGAAAATGTCCTTTACCAATTTTATGTAGTGTCTAAATCTTTCACTTTAACATGAAGAAACTGAAAAGAGTGGAAATCCACACTCATTATTATCCTATGGACTGTCATGAGCTGCACGTGTGCCAATCAGAAAGGAATGGAAGTCTCAGAAGAGCAGCGTGGCTTACAGACCCTAGGCTTTAGTGAATTCAGGCATGCGGGATCCACAGTCTCATCTCGTAGTAAAACTCAGGACAAAATAAATTAGCGTTGGACAGAGTTCTACATTGTACAATATTGAACAAAAGACCACAGGGGGACCTTTTGTTTAAAGTAGCACCAATCCACACCTGATTGTGTTTCCAACATTAATCTTCCTGTTGACTCTATCATTGGCACTTTGAACGGAACTACTTCTGCTTTAGTGAGGATTCCTACGCTGACTCAGCATACTGTGTTGCTAAACTCTACAAAGTGTGGCAACATCAACCTGGGAAATGGCACATTTAAACCATTATCGCCCTGACATGGGTTTGCCTTTTTGTGTGTGTTTTCCCCACCCCCTGACCTAGCTGGTATTTTGTGGATGTTTCTGTGACAGTGGTAAAAGTAAATAAAAATGCATTTAAGGGGTAAGCAGTTGTTTAAAAACAAAACAGAAACAAAATGAAAGAATGTGGTCGCAGCTAAGGAGGTTTCACATGTTGTTTAACTCCAGTAAAGTCTGATCCAGCATCTGATGCATACTAAGGTTTTCTTCTTTGGCATGAGCCACTTTCTCTGTGGTGGGATTAGAAAATTAAGTTATGAATAGCTGTGCTTTGGACACAATGGTGGTTTGTACATTTAGGCAGGCAAACATCAATCACAAACACAGGATGAGATGATTAGAACTAGGCATGCTTGTAAGACATTACTCATTTCTAGACAAGAATCTAAGTCGGGGGGAGGATGTCTTTGACCCAAAGGAGCCATGGAATGGATTCTCATAGAGCAGTCGGGTGCACCTCCACCAACAATTCACTATGAAGATAAAATGCACATGGGGTTTGGTGAAGGTTCACTGACTGTGCCATGGGAACAGGGAGAGGTAAAAACCAAATACAGCTGCAGCATTGCTATACAAACTGGAGAAGTTACTAACAGCAGACATTTCCGAGGTACAGGCAGTTAAAAGTGGGAGTTGTGCAGTAACACAAACTCACAAAAACAAAGATGACAAATAGGTTTTCTGAGAACTTTTAAAATGATGTATTTCTGTTGCTCATAAAAAAAAAAATACCAACATGTTTCATGCACACTTCATTAGGACATTCCTTTATTATTTTTATAATGTTCTACTTATTAATAGCATGACATTCTCCCCAGACTCCAACAGCACCATTAGACTGAATAAAGCCTACCTTTCAGACAACCAGGGGCTTCTGGCATGAGTTCCTGTTTTCAAAAGCTATTTTGCCCAAGCATAGGTACATTTAATCATATTTCAGATGCTATACCAGATATTTATGTTAGGAATATGAATATGTAATAGGAATACACACACACACACACACACATATATATATATACTTAAAGCAGGACTCACGGCTGTCAGTGGGAAATAGAAAATTTGGGGGGGGGTCCTCATTATCAGTTCAAACAAGAGGACCTGCTATTTCAAAGAGGGGTGCTGAATTGAATAAGTATTTTACCATAAAAGCTGTTTTGTGATTAAAGAGAACATAATTATTCCAGCCATATAGAGGAAAATGCAGGCAAGGCCGGACTTTCAGCCAATTCCTTGCATTTGCATTTCTGCAGAAAGCAACGGTTTTCAACTCTATTAGTTGAAGGTAGGACAGTCTTAGATTTTCTGCACGTGGGCTCCACTCCTAGAATTCAGCCCAAGTTTTTTCACTCTTAAGTTTAATCCTCATTCAGGGCCAGCTTTAGTTCATTAGTGAGGCGGCGGTTTTGCTCAAGTTGCTGGTAGAGTTGATCTGTACAGTCAGCAAGCAGGTTAGCAGAAAAGAGGCAGAAGGAAGAAAGGTTAGCAGACTCAGTGAGAGGCAGTTAATAGAGAACACAGAGACCTCAAGCAGGACAGTAGCTGGTCATTTGCTGAGCAGTTTACTCTTACCCCATAGTCACCTGTCCTGTATCGAGGAAGAGTAGACCCTACAAAGCTTTGTAGACTTAGGGTCAGAATTTCTCTCTTGGTAGGGAAAGAGGAGAGGGGGAGCAACAGGAGGAGGAAGAGTGAATGTTCCTCTTACACTGCACTAAACCACTTTGTGAGCTGAGCCATATATAGTTTCTGGCAATAGGTTTGGGAATGGAGGCCCAGCTGGAGGCGAGCCAGCGTGACATCCACCCCTTACTGGGGCTCAGTGTTGAACTCAGCTGAAACCTCGACCTCCCCAGGGTAGCCCACCTCTTCCAGGACCCCTTTCCTCTTGTTCTCAGGGCAGGTTTTACTTTCAGGTAGTACCAACTGGGGGATACTGCTTTTGCTGCACTGAAATATTTTGAAATTTGGAATTAAGTCCCTGTCCTTCCCCCAGTCACCAAAACACAGGGTCCACATTCTGACTCCCATCTAGCTTTGATAGTGGTATCTATTCAAATAGCAAAAGAACAAGCACTTGTCTCCACTCAACACTGATTTAGAATTTACCTGCTTGCTTCTTGAAGAGGATGGCATTCATGTGTGGTGCTAATGGATGTGGATAAAATGAACAAAGCTTGGAACACCTACATGAAGATCAGCATGATACACATGATCTGCTCACAGGGCAAGGAAACCAACTACAGGAGTCTGTCTGTATCTGACGATCCAGGGGACACCCAAGCTGACAAACAAGAGCCCGGTATGCACTGGGAACAGCCAGAGGATGCATGGTGGCTTTGAATGATGGTGACAACTTGGATCTAGAAATATTTCATGGTCTTGAAAAACTAACAATCCTACTCCTGGGGAAAATGTGCCTGCAGCCCCCAGGTCTGTCAAGAGATTGAGTAGCTCTCACATTAACATTCTCATAAATGGTAGGAGATGGGAGAATGCTATGCTCGTTACATTTTCTCACTTGGAATATCTGCCGCTCTGTCCTCTTTGCTCATCCACAGTTTCTGAATATGCAAAACTCCAGTCAAATGTCAGCTACCTCTTCTAGGGAGCTCCCAGTCAGGATGGTTCTCTCTTCCTTGTTAGCTCCAAATGCACATGCCTATTGGTTCTGACTTGCTTCACTCCTCTCTCCCGGCACCAGACAGCCAGCTCATCAAGAGCAAAGAACCTTTCCAGCCTGTCTCTCTACCACACCCCCACTGCTTCCCGTGGTGTTTTGCATGTGGCATATGCTTGGGGGTTGCAAGACATAGCCCCATTACTACATTTACACTATGGTCATAGGGAACTGTCGCCATGGGTAGGGAGCATGTCTCAGTTTGCTGAACCCAAATGTTTGGCCAGGCTAGAATGGAAGAACTTTGGAGAAACACTGGAGAATCCAGAGGCTCAGTGTGAATTCAGCAGGAAGGACAGTGGTCCCTCCCACAGCCTCCTCTGGACCTGCTCTCCTTCAGCTACTGTGGAGCTGGTGTGCATGGGTGGCCCAAAGGCAGGGACAAGACATGCTCTTATCCTTGGAAGTGTTCTCCCCTCCCGTTCTATGGAGACTCTCAGCTGCCTGAAGCTTCAAGTGCCCCAAAACTCAGTGATGCTTTTGGATTGGCCCACCAGAGCAGCTGTGGCTATGGCCTGGCCGTTTGAACCAGAAGCCTGGGCTCCAACAATTTCCTGATAAACCTGACTTGCTGTTTTCCTCTTGCATATGCACACCCTGGGCTACTCCCGACCTGCCCTCCTGATCCAATAGTGCCTACTTCCCCTTGTTGAGTGTACTTATAGAAAGTGTGAAAGTCTCTGGAAGGGTTTCCAAAAAACAGATGTGCCTCCAGAATTACATGAACATCTGCTCAGCAGAACTTTCAGACTTGGCATTTTGTCTATGTCAGGAAGCAGGGTTTGCTCAGAGAAGGGTACACTTCTCTTATTCTGAATTTAAAAAAGAACAAGGAAGGAGTCATAGTCAGAAGCAGGCCCAAGGAGCCTTAAGAAAAGGAAAACATGAAATTATAGAAGCCTTTATACACTCAAAGGAGAGACACTGTCCAGATTCTAAATTTAAAAGTCCATCACATTATGACTAAAATACTGTAATTCACAGCTTTTTTAAAAAAGAGTATTTCCTCTCTGCTTTGAAGTTTCTGTAGAGTGAGAATGACACTATCTATCTTCAGAGTTTGTCCAAATTGATTTGAGTATGGTGGTATATGGGCTAAAAAAACTATATACAAAACATGCAGATCATCCATGTTAAAAAAAAAAGAAAACTGGCCGGGCGCGGTGGCTCAAGCCTGTAATCCCAGCACTTTGGGAGGCCGAGGCGGGTGGATCACGAGGTCAAGAGATCGAGACCATCCTGGTCAACATGGTGAAACCCCGTCTCTACTAAAACTACAAAAAAATTAGCTTGGGCATGGTGGTGCGTGCCTGTAATCCCAGCGACTCAGGAGGCTGAGGCAGGAGAATTGCCTGAACCCAGGAGGCGGAGGTTGCGGTGAGCCGAGATCACGCCATTGCACTCCAGCCTGGGTAACAAAAGCGAAACTCCGTCTCAAAAAAAAAAAAAAAAAAGAAAACCAGGAGAACTATAAAGTCAGATTGTCGAGGAAGGACAAATGTTGGGAATTATGACACTAAAGTCCCTATTAGTTAAAGTTCTAATTTTTGCAATGTATTTTTTTTAATCACTTAATTGGCGTTAGCCAAAATAGAAGCCCAAATGAAATACAATTGTTGGGGGAAAAAAGAGGAACTTTCATTGCTATATTTAAAAAATGTCCATAAATGAAAACACAGCCATTGAACACAAAGATTATGTACAATCCCTCCCAAAGAATATGTGCTGAAGAGCACAAAACAAATCACGACTGAACAGAGTAATCATATTTAGAAAACCTAAGGTGTCATTTTCATGATCAAAATAAAAGTAGCTGAGTAATAAATATACTTCGAAAAAGCCTGAACTCTTCTTTGTGCTATAAAAGGATGATCGACAATAACCAAAATTTACATTGTTTGAATCCAAGTTCTTTTTCACCCTTTTCAGTGTATAACTTCCTAGTAACGTGGGATAGCTTCGGAACCATTCATTATGAGCCTTTCATCAGTTAGCCATGTCCTCCCAAGCAGGGCCACCGAAGTATCAACACAGAGGGGTCACTACATCCCAAGCTAAACCTCCAGCAAAGGGAGACACTGATCAAGCCAGAACTTACAACTCTCAATAAGCAACGTCCCCTGTGTGACTCAGACTGCATACCAGAGCCATCACAATCCCCCCCAAATCCCATAGATGTCCAGGCCTCACTCTAACCTTTGAAGGGGTGCAGGCCTGGGCATTTTTTTAAAGTTCAACAAGGAACTACTGTGCTTTAGCAGCTCCTAATACAATTCTGTATAATGTTCAGAATTTAAAAGAAAGCAGCAGCCAAAAAACTAACCCTCATATGTGTGAAGCAGCTCTGTAGTTTTATTCAATGTTGAAACTAAAATGTCAATAAATAAGAAGTAAAAAGAATAGCAAACAGATATAGCTTACACAGTGTTTATTTGACACTGAAATGATGAGCTTCTGTACAACAGAAAGCACAGTGTGTGCCTGGCTCTAAGGCAGGATGCTAAGAGAGAGAACCAGGGTCAGCTGGAGAACAGACAAATGCAGAGCTCAGAGAGGTGGTACATCCAGCTCGACGAGGGAGTCTTGGGAGAAGTGAAGCAAAGAAACTTATCTGCGTGAAGATAAAAAGGTGGGAGAAAAAGGAAAAAAGTGGTACAATGGGGAAAAAAAAAAAAAAAAAAGAAAACAAACCAATAGATGAGAGCACTTGAAACACAGACAAGAAGCAGTCATGCAAAACCCACTGCCAGCCATACCATCAGAAGGACTGCTGTCTTCTCACCTGAAGCGTCACAGGCTGCCTTTGGGCAAGGGTCCATTTTAAGAAGACCCATGAACAGAATTTAAAAACAAATTTTATGCTACACTCATCTTTCAGAATATTTAATCATACTGGATGCAAAAAGTGTTTCCCAAAGAATCACCATGTTTTAGCACTGGAAAAGACCTTAGAGACAAATGATCTGATCCACCCCCTGAATTACAAATGGGGGATGAGAAGACAGACTTTTCTCTGGTTTCCATGGCAACAGTCATGTCTCTAGGGGCTTTTATGTTGAGTGTGGGGATTCTATAACCTCTAAGGCAGCAGGCACAGGCCACACTCTTCGTTACCATTTTTTTTTTTTTTTTTTTTTTTCTGGGGAAAAAGAATAAAAGGGGGGTTTGGAAAATAAAATTTCCAGCTTCAATGGAATTTAGGGTGATATCAGACGGAAGAACTCTGAAATATTACAGATTAGAATTTAGTAGAACAAATTTAATGTTTAAGTTTGGTTAGTAATATGTAAATTAGTTGTATCTGTTCAAGGTTCTTCTCTTGATAATAGGATTACCTACTCCAACTCTTACTGCCTCACAGTAAAATCTGGGCCATTAACTCCTAAGCTCACATTGTACAATCTGTGTTCCATTTCCCATTTCTTTGACACAGGTTATGGTAAATATTCATTTTAATTCCTTTCAAAAAAATGAAATTAAAGCCTCGGTTATTCAGCAGAGGGTTCCTTTTACTCTAGAATTCTTAAAAGTAAAAGAGGATCTTTTATAGTACCATCCTTCAATTTATATTTACTTGATGAAAATGATTATGTTGTACTTAGTTGAATCTCAGGAAACAAATTTTTGATATTTCTTGAGAATTTCCTGTACAACAGCATGGCCATCTAGTCTTGAGTTTAATTTCCCAAAAGGATGGTGCTCAAGGTCACTCATTCTAGTTCATTGCTCTCATTTAGCATTTACAAAATAAAAGGAATCTGAAAGGAAAATGGTTTGTGTAGACACACTTAATCTAGTTCGCCTTCATATTAGTAGAAAGTGAAAAAACAATGACTATTCTAGGTTATGACAAAAAGGGTGAATACAGGAGTGCAAAGATCAAGAGTGCAGAGATCAAGAAGCAAGGGATGGTGGTGCATTTATTACATTAGCATGAGGGCATGGGTGCAAGCAGGCAGAGTGGATGAACGTTTACATGGAAGTCATATCGTTGAGAGCGTGGTCCAGCTCCTCGCTGATGGCTTTGTACTTCAGTTTCTGAGCGTACAGCTCGTCTATGACCAGGAAGTGGAAGGCAGAGGTGCAAGAACATGAAGAGTGATCAAGAGATGGGGGGTGAGTGAGGGTGGCGCGCGCACCATCCCAACACAGCAGCAAGAAAAGGGCAATGCATTGAAGGGGTTGGTGCCGCAGCAGGTGGCCAATGCAGGAGGCGTGCGTTTTGTTTTAAATAAATTGAAACAAAAACAAAGAGAACAAAACCCATTAGAAAATAAAATGAGAAAGACTCATTACGAAAATCATAGCAAACATGGTAGGTGTATCAAGTAAACCATGTTAAATCCTAAATGAAACCACAGAAGGCTGTCTCCTGGTCAGCGGGGTAGGGGCTAATGGAACATTTTTCTTTTGCAGAGCTATATTTTAATTACACTGGAGTAGTCAGCCACCTGCAGCTACAAACAATGGGAAAAAAACACCCAAGGGCACTGTTTTGGAAGAACAATTTGTGACTACAGCCTGTAGTCCTTATCTGGCTCCACCTTCAAACCACTGACTTCCTGACCACACCAGACCACTGGGATAGTGATTTCTTAGTGTCATTTAAGCTACTCCTGTGGTCTTCCCATTCCAGCTGCCTATTACTGGTCCAGGAGGCTTGAAAAAGAGCGTCACACTTTATATGGCACGTGTGCAATTTAATTTTTGTAATTATGCAGGTTTCATACTTTGCTGCACTTTGGCAGATCATTTTGCAACCATTTGTCATCCTCTCTTCTCTACTATTTTGGTTATTATCTGCACCAAACACTAGTTCCTTCTCTAATCCCTTCTATTTGTATGTGATGTATATGTTTGTCGTTTTTCTTTTTCACAGTAACCCTTCACAAGCTTCAAAGCTCAACAGTTAGGATATCCATGAGATAGAGTGGTTATTACTAATATAAAACCTAAATGCCCTAGGAGAGAAATGCTTAACTATATTTTCCGCTCCTCCTTCAGGATCTAAAATACTTTGCTAAGATAATAAATGACTTAAAAAAAACAAACCCAAATCCTTACTTTGAATTCATACTTGGAAGAAGATGGATTCTTCTAAAAACAAGTCCATATCCTTCCCAATTTAATTAGGAAATAACACTAAAGATTTAAACTATACTAGAGTCATTCTCACCTATAAGCACGTCACTCACAGTGAAAAATAAACCTGCCACACTTATGATGAGCATGAAGTTAAGCTAGATGGTGTTTGCCACTAGGGCTGGTGGCTAACTAGTCACCTCTTGAGCAGAAGACTCAGGTTCATGAGTTTAAAAGCCACAGAGGAAAACCCCAGAGGACAGACAGAAAGAATGTGTAAGTGCAAAGGAGTCTATCAGGGTAGATGGAAAATTTGAATTGGAAAATCTGCCAGATCAGTATTCAACCATAAGGAGTAAATGAAAAACAGTACTTAAGATCTTACCTTCTAAGTCATCAATGCTTTTCTCCAATTTAGTTACTGACCTCTCCGCAAACTCAGCCCGAGTCTCAGCCTGTAATGATTTATTTGAGTCAAAGTTGGGAAGTTTTATGTTTTCCTTAGCTACAAACATAGGGAAAACTAGAGGATGAAAATGAAGCACATCACCCATAAAATGGATCTGAGACTACTTGTCAATTTCAGTCATTAATGTGAGAAATGGAGCTAGTACGGCACATAAACTCCAAGGCGACCTTTGAATATTCCTGACTTGGATCACTGGACCTTTAAAATGAAAAGGCCCTGACCGGTTCCATGAAAACAAACTCATTTAAAATCCAGCTGGCTTCATCCACAACTCTCATATTACCTCCTTCAGCTTGTCGGAAAGGACCTTGATCTCTTCCTCATATTTGTCTTCCTTCTGCGAGTACTGTAATTAGAAAGAGCATTCCAGATGTCAGGCTGCAGCTCACTCTACTCATGCCTTCTCATGCAAAGAACTCGCCAGCCCAGCCAACAGATGTTAAGGATGTCTTAGGAGGTAATGGAACCTCTGATATCAAATGGCACACTGCAATACATTCTCTGCTTTCTTGCCTATTGTTTTACATGGGATAACAAGATAACTTATCCACTTGGCACTTGGTTTAAATTAAATTGATGACTCACATCCCTAACATAAAATAAATTCTCTAGTTAAAAAAAAGAATTTGTTATCTAGTAACTCTCTAAAAATCACCTCATAATATTGTCATTTACTAAATGTCTATGTTCGGTTGCTTTCACCGGCAGGGTCTCTTGAGCAGCACTTAAACGATGCCTTTCCCCGACACCATGCTCCTGGCCTACCTTCTCAGCCTGAGCCTCCAGTGACTTCAAGTTGTTCGTCACAGTTTTCAATTCTTCTTCAAGCTCGGCACATTTGCTAATGTTTTCGATCAGAGGCAGAAAGGGTGGGAGACAAGCCAAAGGAAAGAGGAGAGAAAAAGGAGAGGGATGGGAAAAAATGAAAACCAAGTCCTAGAGACGAAGGACTGCCTTAAAGTAGCCAAATCATCAGGTATTAAAATGTGTACTTTTGCCAGGAACACTGCCCCCCAACCTTGCAACAGCAGAAGGCAGGGTGACAAAAATCCAACAACTTTGAAGTGCAATAATTTGGCTCCTTTTTTGGCTGCCCAAAGAGCATTTATGAAAGGAAAACAAAGGAGCTCAAAGGACCAAGGGAAAGCACTTAAAGCAAGATATAAATAGCAGAGGGTGAAGTGGAAGTGCAGTCGTTATACCAAACGAACCAGTAGGCATTGGAAGCTGAAAGACGTCTGGGTTGCAGTTAAACCTAAAAACCACACATGAGCCATCAGTACCTTATCCTCTGCAGCCATTAATGCTTTCAAGGTCTGATCCATTATTCTTAATTGTTCTTCCAGCTGTCGGACTTGGCTGTTAGTGGACACAGGAAATGCACAAGGCCATTCACAAAATCAGTGTGCAGGTAAGGCATGCAGTGATACACGCATTCATACATAGACACCCCAAACGAGTCCTCCATGTTCCATACTCGTGGCTCGTCCACATCAAATGAGTACAAAAGGAGCCCGGAGTGGAAACAGGTAATGTGCAGCTGCCAGAAGGTCATGCTGTTTAGTCACTGCTCTGTAGCACCCCATTCGTGGCCTCCTGGCGCCGGGCCCGCTTACCCTTCTGAGAGCTCAGCCCGCTCCTCTGCACGTTCCAGGTCGCTCTCAATGATGACGAGCTTACGGGCCACCTGCAGCAGGAAAACACAGAACACACATACCATGGGTCTTGCAAGCTTAATGTAGGAGGGCATGGGGGTAGGGATCAGATCCCATCAGTCCCTAAGGGTTTTGTGTACTAACAATGTGATTCTCTTTCTGGTAGACCAGAGAGAAGCAAGCCTCCATTAGGAGTGCCGGTAGAGAGGAGATCAGAGGCTTCTGCTCTGATTCAGAGTGGTCAGTTGTGATTAAGCAGTCTCAGTTGGAAGTCTGACGCAGGTGAGCTGGCAGCCAGACCAAAAGTGGAAGGAGGGAGAAAATACAAATTCACAATCTCAAAAACAGCAGTAGGATGAGACATGATGCATTTTATACTGAAAAGGTAGGAGCTGTCAGGAAAACAAAACAAACCTAAGGCCTCCATTGATCTGATGGCTGATCTGTGCATCTACCTCCTTACTGCAGAGGAAGAATACAAGAGACACTAACGTGAGACAAGTTGGTGAGATAACTGACAAAGTCAAGTTTGTATTTAGTGGAAGAAACAGAGAGAGGAAGGGAGGCTCTGAAGCAGATCAAAACTAGTGAGCATAGTGTAATCTGAAAGTAACGATAATAAAAATGAGGGGCCATGCTGTCTCAGGATAGCCACGATGTGATCCAATAAGGAAAAAACAAAAACCTTAATAATCATATTGCCTCTGTTATCACAGGAGGTTGTTTTCATGGGGACATGACCAGGAGCAAATTCAGCAGAAAACCTGTGTTGATAATAGTTTTCTTTACCACCCTTGAGGAGAGAGGCCTCCATGAATCCACTGAGCAACTGTCTGTGGTCTCTAAGTTGCCCAATCTGGATGTGCTAAGTGAATCTGGAAAGAAGTGACTGGCACCATGACAGCATGAGAGCCTCCTTTCACAAGACATAGGGCCCAACTCTCCTTTCTGGCCAAAGATCTTTTGTCTGGGTCTTTGTGCTGGGGGAGAGGAGTTCTGGTCCTTTTTCCCAGTGCTACTGATCAGCTTCACGACAATGCCTGGGATCCCCTAGCAGGATCAAAATTAGAACCGTTTTCTGGAGACAAAGGAGCTTTGCTTCTTGAAACCACCCATTTATTCCAGCAAAGCAGATGGCCTCATTCAGGAATCAAGGTTGTGCTCTGCTCCCTGGCCTCCTGCAGACCACTGCTGAGAGTCCACAAGGCTTTGGGCCCTAGGATCTGACCTCTTCATATTTGCGGTCGGCATCTTCAGCAATGTGCTTGGCCTCTTTCAGTTGGATCTCCTGAATTTCCATTTTTTCTTCATCCTTTTGGGCTCGACTTTCAATGACTTTCATGCCTCTGAAAAGAAAGACAGCAGGAAAATCCAAGATTTAGAGCTAAACTCTCCAAATGCACACTGCACTGCTGTGGCCTGTGAGTCTTGGTGTAAGTGGTAAACCAAAATAGAGCACAGAGCTACTTTTATTTTCCAAACCAGGAAACAACACTTTCCAGAGCTAAAGGTGGAAAAAGGAGACACATTTCTCTCTGTTCGCTGTGAAGGAACACTTCATGCACTGATGAAACTATCAGGCATCTAACATTAGATGAAAGGTACCATGTCAGGATCCTGTTTGAATCTTGGTGGCATGAAACTGGAAAAGCCAATATGTTAAATCGATGAGATCTCTTTCCTTTCCTGTGGAAAAGAAAAGAAATCCTTTGGGAAGGGTTTCTGTGGGAAGGGTCCTGTGGGAAGCCTCAGCTTGCATATGAACCAAAGCTAGAATTAAATTTATCTTTATTTACCTCTTTCTACAAAAAATCCTCTTACCCTGCCAACCATAAGCAAAAATATTAGACTGGCTTACAAAAAACCTGCTGATATTTGACCATTTCAGAACAGTAATAATGGCAACTTCCTAGGATTCAACTGAATGCTTCAGGTTAAGTTTTACCTGTAATGGAACCCTTTCATGACAGCAATGCTGGGAGACAGGCCTGACATTGTCATCTATACTGAGTGTATTAGGGTGCTATGGCATGGTGTTATGTTCCAGAAAAATACTCACCTATGATATTTTATAGCTATATGGAATAATGAGTCATGTTAAAATGGAATTCATTTATCACAATTTAAGTAGGCAGTATAAGTAAACCACTATTTTATTATCATTTTTTTGAGACAGAGTCTCACTCTGTCACCCAGGTTAGAGTGCAGTGGTGTGATCTTGGCTTGCTGCAACCTGCACCTCCCAGGTCAAGCGATTCTCCTGCCTCAGCCTCTCGAGCAGCTGGGATTACAGGTATGTACCACCACACCTGGCTAATTTTTGTATTTTTAGTAGATTTAGGGGTTTTGCCATGTTGTCCAGGCTGGTCTCGAACTCCTGGCCTCAAGTGATCTGCCCGCCTCGGCCTCCTAAAGTGCTGGGATTATAGGCATGAGTCCATTATCTTTTGATGAAGCATTGGAATACAGTTGAAGAGATCTGGGTTGGAGTCTTGGCTTAGCCACAAATATGCTGTGAACCTCGGTGCAACTCATATCACTCTCTGAGCCCTTGTTTACTCACTTGTAGAACTAAGGGACTAAATGATCCCCAAGTTCCCTTTACTCTAAAGTCTAACATTACCAGACTGCTTTAAGGCATACTGCACTAACAAGTATATTTCAGAAAGAAATCAGCCACAAAACCGCTCTTATGTGTACACTGTAAGAGATGATTAGTCATCTTAAAAGCTTGGTTAGCGAAGAAACACTAAGCGGCAGTGAATAATGGCCTAAAAACTTGAAATAAAAATCTTCTTTAATCCTAAAGTATGAAATCACTATTTATACCTGATACCTCGTGGCAGGGTCACTGCAAAGATGGAGAAATGAACAAGGTGACTGACTGCTTTCACTTGCCCAGGTCACGGCACAGACAGATACATGTTCAGTGTTCTGAGCCCCTTCATGCTATACCATCCCTCAAGCAGCAGAATGCTCTCTCACCTCATGGAGTCTCTCTTGAAGTACTTCTATGCAATATGGCAAATCATTAATTCCAACAGTTGAGCACAAGGGAAAATGCCTTCTAGACCACACAAGGCTGTGCTGGTCTATACGAACCATGCTTTCCTTTACTACCACAAAGCTGAATCTTGGAGTAGGGCCAGGTTACAGTGGAGGTGGGCTCAGAACACACAAGCATCTGACTATCTGTGTATTAAGACCAAGTCCAAAATATTTTACTTTTGCAGACCATATTTCTGTTTTATTTGTGTTTTTCTTCTACCTATTTGTTAAGCTATTTGACAACTGACAGTCCATAGTTCCTTTCTCTAGGCCTAAGACTCCTTGGTATATTTTAAAATAAAGTTATACTTTAAAAAATGCACAATTGCTTTGTGGTCTGTAGGAATGAAAGGGCCCACTTGTATCCCTAAGTTTCTCCTTTACATACCTGTCTCCCTCATTAGATGGTGAGCTCTGTGATGGCAGAAATAGGATCTTTTTCTTTTTTGTAACCTTAGGGCTTAGGACAGTGCTTTGCACATAGTAGGTGTTTCACTAATGCTAAATGAACAAAACCAACTGAGTTATACCTGGGATCAATGGAGGAAATGATCCCACCACCAGGGGACTGAAAAATTCTTAAACCTCAAAGATCACAGGAGCCCTCCAGTTTATTCCACTAGGAAAGGCAGCTGCAAAAGATGGCTGATGAGGCATTCTCACCTCTCACTCTCATCTGCTGCCTTCTCAGCTTCCTCCAGCTTCTGCAAAGCTGTTGCCAGACGCTCCTGGGCACGATCCAACTCTTCCTCAACCAGCTGGATGCGTCTGTTCAGAGAAGCTACGTCGGCTTCAGCCTAGGTAGAGAGTGAAACGCATTTCAGAGTTGGGGAGAAAGTGAGGATGGTACCTTGAGGAAGTGGCTGGGACTGCAATGCTGATTTCAGACAGGAAGACTGTCTTCTGGTGAGCTACCTTTAAGTGCATTACAAGCCTTAGTCAACTCCGGAATTCTCAGATACATTTATACATTGATTTATGTAGTCAACATCCATATTTAGGTACATACAAATCTATACAAACAATTCTCATCAGACAGATCATTAGCAAACGGTCTTTCACATGGTTCCTTTCTTCCACAAATTTCAACACCCTGGCTTTACTTGCTTGTTAAACAAGAGCATCATCACAGCCACCTCACTCACTGGGGGCCTGAAGTGTGAACTGAGACAGGACTCACCCAGGCTCAGCCATGTAAGACGATAGCAGTACAGCCAGAAATCGGACTCAAGAGTTTCACTCAACCTTCTTTTCTTCTGGCCACTTTATAAAAGGAACTAAAATAGTTTAAAATTCAGTGGTTCTAGCCGGGCGCGGTGGCTCAAGTCTGTAATCCCAGCACTTTGGGAGGCCGAGGCGGGTGGATCACGAGGTCAAGAGATCGAGACCATCCTGGTCAACATGGTGAAACCCCGTCTCTACTAAAAACACAAAAAATTAGCTGGGCATGGTGGCGCGTGCTTGTAATCCCAGCTACTCAGGAGGCTGAGGCAGGAGAATTGCCTGAACCCAGGAGGTGGAGGTTGCGGTGAGCCGAGATGGTGCCATTGCACTCTAGCCTGGGTAACAAGAGTGAAACTCCGTCCCAAAAAAAAAAAAAAAAAATTCAGTGGTTCTAAAATACACCACATGAAGGCCCAACACAATCCAACAACCCCTTTTAGAATAACTGGCCTCACTGGAACAGAGCCAAGACAAATTTCCCAAATGTTTTTGACGTAAGCCTATGAAATTCCTTAGAAGTCAAGGTTAATACAAGAAGAGCATCAAACTCCTAAAAAGAAAAGTAACACAAGTACTGTTTTTACTTGGTATCTATTGCTGGAATAAAATGTTTGTTTCTTTGAGAGGCAATGATCTTTTCCTATCATAAGAAATTGTTGCTATGAGCCTCAGAACACTTGTAAGACGATGATGTTCCATTATACATACCTGCACTGGTGGCTGTTTAAATACTGTGCATGGAAGTGGAAGACGGAATTTACTAATCAGGTACAGCACCCTCATCTACTTTGAGTATATGCTCACGAAGGGGTAGTGGGGTTTTCGGAACACTTAGGTGTTTTCTAGAAATTACAATAAACACTTAGGGACCCATGGTAATAGGATAACAAATTTCTCTACATACAGCCCTATCTTCATCATTGAACTGTAAGCTGCTCACATCCAGAGAACTCACAGTTCTCTGCATAGAGTATGGGCTCAATAAGAAGGAATAATACCAATCTAATTTCAATAAAAGCAATTTTCTTAGCTTATGGATCCACAATACAGAGTTAGAAATGCAAATGTAGTTAAAGACTGAGGTCACAGCTTTTAATCAAAGGAATCTGAGAACCTTCAGCTATGTGCTAATCTAGATTTGTAAGACTTTAAATGCCAAGTTTTATCTGGGAAGAGAGGTGAGTAGGGCATCTCCAGCTATGGTGAAGGACTCTATAAAAACATGTAGGCTGGGCATGGTGGCTCACATTGTAATCCCAGCACTTTGGGAGGCCAACGTGGGAGGATCACGAGGTCAGGAGTTTGAGACCAGCCTGACGAACATGATGAAACTTTGTCTTTACTAAAAAATACAAAAAATTAGCTGGGCATGGTGGCATGTGCCTGTAATCCCAGTTACTCAGGAGGCTGAAGCAGGAGAATTGCTTGAACCCAGGAGGTGGAGGTTGCAGTGGGCCCATGATCACGCCACTGCACTCCAGCCTGGGCAACAGAGCGAGACCAAAAAAATAAAAAAAAAAAAGCATGTAAATACACTTTTATCCTGACAAAAATGTAGTAATTGGTTGATGGAGGCAGGGAGCAGGGCAAATGTGAAATAAGTCAGAGGAGGAACATTTACAACTGTACTGCCTACAAAGTAAATCATTATCAGTGCACAGCTGGTAACTGGGCCCAGCTAGGAATTACTGGCAGCTGACTGTTGTTTTGGGGGTTATGAGTATATTGAAGGGTGACGGTAATAGGATAACAAATTTCTTAATTACAGGGAATTATCTTTTAAAAACCATTAGACATTTTTTTATTATTACCGGAAGGATGTATATGTTAAGGATACACTTTTGGGTCAGGTAAGATTTCTTCACTTTTCTATATTTTCATTTTCCAATAAAATTCTATTCCTTTTGCAGGTGGGAGGGGGGACTCAAAGCTGAAGCAAAAACAAAGGGCAAAAAACAAAACAAAACAAAACAAACCGAAATTTAAAACCACACAAAAAACCAAGCACACAAACCAAAAGCCCTACAACAGCAAAAAGCCTCTGCAGCGTGTCTAGGTTATGTACTCCAAAGTATTGTACACTTTCTTTTCTTTCCCCCTTTCTTCTATTTAATATGAAGGCAAACATCCTTGTTACAGAGGCAATGGCCTATGAGAGAAATGTCAGCAAGATTTTCAAAACCTTTTTGTAGCCACCAGGTTGTAAGTTCTCTGCTCTGCTTTAGATGTGGGTCTAAACCTCAAGGACTTTGTACTCACTGAAAGTCAACTGTTTATGCTCTGGCGAAAGAACTCTCTGAGTGACAGGTCTCTTGACCCCAGCTCCTCACACAACTGAGTCACCAGAAAGGAAGTAGACAGCACCTCATGTTCATTCCAGCCTTGCACATGAGATCTCCCTACCCAAAGGGCCCCCACCAATCCATCTACATCTTCCCGCCGATCACCCCCACCCCCATTCTTTCCCTTAGCTCTTGGTACTGAGTTTACAGACTGCTGTTGTCTAAAAGTCATCTCTTTGTTTCCCCAGGAGCATTCTGTAGAGCCTTAGACTCCTGGACATCAGAGAATATATCCTACAGGAATACCAGCCAGCAGGGCTTCATAGAGGGTGCCCCAGCAACGACTGGGCATGGAGATCCATGTCTAGGTGCCAGTTTGTGATATGGAGGAAGGAATGGTAGCACATACACAGCAGACCTGAGGGTGGCTGCCCCTTCCTGAGGAGCCCCTGTAAATCCAAAAAATAGGGTCTCAATGTTTTAGCTGGAAGGATCCTGAGGTCAGCAGTTCCCACGAGTGGCTTAGTGTCAGAATCAACTCAGAGATGAACATTAAAAAAAAAAAAAATCAAACTTCCAGGCCCTATCCCTAGAGATTCTGATTCAGGAGGTCAAAGGGGGAGGGCAGGAATCTGTACTAAAAATAAACAACCCCCTTCGCTACCACCCGAAGAAGCTGGCCATTCTCATTCTTCTAGCGCTTCACTAAAAAGAGGCGGCATGAGGGACCTCTGACCCTGACCACTGAAGTATGCGGAGGCCATATAGCCATCAGTGGGAGACAGGATTAAAACCCAAGTCACCAGGCTCCCGGTGTGCTGGCTCTCCACTCTTCACTTCTCCTGGCTTCCCGGAACGTCATGGAAGCCTTGGAACTGGCAGTTCTCACTCCTTGGTCTTTATCTCTTCTGACATCAGATTTAGATGTTCTCTGGGCACCCCCCCCCAACTCCCCAAGAAAGGCCTCAGGGACAGACCCTAACCAGGACTAGGAGAACAGTTGCTGTAATGCAAATCATCCACTAAAGTATTTATCACAATCTTTTCGAAATTCAACAGGATATAAAATTGAAAACTTCATAAAACAATGCTAATGGGTAATAGAAAGGTCACATAAGGACACAGAGCATTTACTCCCTGGCCCCGAAAACAATGACTACTGCCCCAGAGGTTTCAGAGTAGGACAGGTAGAAGGACTCTGAGGTTAAAGCCAGGACCTGGGAGTAGTATCTGAAGTCACCTATCTTTATGGGAAAACCCTGAACCCATGACAGGCTCTGCAGGCCCCAGTATAGTAGTCTAATAGAATTTTTGTTTAGTTCCTTAGAATTCAAGATCTGTTTAATTTTATAATTCAACTACGGCTATCTTCTCTTTCTTATTTTTACTTTTTCTGATTTATTATGCTGTATGCTCCAAAAGCCCCACACCTGTCATCTTCACTAGCTTTTATTTCAGGTATGTTTTTTCTAAGTTTTGAGGTTATTTAGATATTTTCTTTCTTTTTTTTTTTTTTTTAAGATGGGGTTTCACCATGTTGGCCAGGCTGGTCTCGAACTCCTGACCGCTAGTGATCTGCCCACCTTAGCCTCCCAAAGTGCTGGGATTACAGGCATGAGCCATCATGCCCAGCCTTATTTAGTTATTTTCTAAGGTTCTTTTCATCATAGCACCTGGGAGGATCTTAAGAACCTGCTCTTGCCTCTGCCTTTGAGACCACAGACACATGGCCATCTGTTAGTTAAAAGCAGATATAAATAACCAGGCATTTGGGGGAGGGTCAAGACCCCTGAAACAAATTATTTCCAGGCATGTAAATCACTCTTAGTGTACTGAGTTAGCTTTCCTCTTCTTTTTTTTTGTTTTTGAGGTGGAATCTCGCTTGCTCTGTCACCCAGGCTGGAGTGCAGTGGCGTGACCTCGGATAACTGCAACCTCTGCCTCCTGGGGTTCAAGCAATTCTGCCTCAGCCTCCAGAGTAGCTGGGCTTACACGCACGTGCCCCACCTGGCTAATTTTTGTATTTTTAGTAAAGATGGGGTTTTGCCATGTTGGCCAGGCTGGTCTCTAACCGCTGACCTCAGGTGATCCACATGCCTCTGCATCCCAAAGTGTTGGGATTTACAGGCATGGGCCACTGTGCCCCGCCAAGTTAGCTTTCTTCTAACAGCAGCACACGTGCCGACTGCCAGTGAAGTGAGCTTCACTTCCGATGCTAGTTTCTTTTCTTTCAAAAGTGCTATTGTGTTCTAACATGCAATGAACTACTCAAAAAAGAGACTGTCACATTA